CGCCCCCCCCCCCCCAAAGTCTACACAAGTATCAATGCCAACGTCTGTTTACCATCTCAGTAACAGGCCCCTATATGTAATTTGGCATGTATTTCGACAACGCAGTGCTCTGTATTCATGCAATTTGACTTTGGATTTTACCCTCAGGCCCTTTTAAGAGTGTGGCATGTATCAGTTTTGCCCTTGTTCAGGTATGGATTTTTAGTCACACACACACCTGTATATATAGACATGCCTCTAAACCCACATACAAAAATCTAATAGACTTCTGTCTGTTTCAGACAAACAGTATGCAAAGATTGCAGAGGTGGATAGAATTCTTGAAACTGCTGACTTTGGAGAAGGTTATATTCCTCTAAATGTAGGCCATCAGTTCAAATCTGAGTTCACGTTGCAGACTCTGCTGTCACCTGAAATAAAGGTACAGTAGTTAATCTGCATTACAACATTTCTGCTGCCCTGTTCAGTGTATCATAAATGCTATGTCTGTTCTAAATCTGAGTTTCTGTGGATCATTATATTAAAAGCAATGTCTTACCTTCTTTGCTTTTCATTTCATGTTTCCTTAATGATAGCTTCATGGTGTATACTCGTACATAATAGAGGGATAGCACAAGTGAGACAGGATTTGTGTTTGGGAAGTTACAGACTACAGTATCGGCTGGCACAATTTGTCTTATGATTCACTTCTGCACTCATGTGGAGTGCCTATTGAAGTTGTTCCGTCTATCTGTGTGTATGAAACAGCTCAACAATGTGAAAACAGTTTTGATTAAGTTTGGTAATGGAGAAGGAGCCGGGATAGCACAGTCGGTACAGCGACTAACTGCGGGTTGACCAAGAGGCAGGAGTTTGAGTCCCAGTAGGGTCAAGAATTTTCTCTTCACATCATCCAGACCGGCTCTGGGGCCCACCAGCCTCCTATCCAATGGGTACTGGGGGCTCTTTCCCCGGGGTAAAGTGGCCAGGGTGTGAACCTGACTGCTCACCTCCAGCTAGTGCCAAGGTCAAGAAAATGTGGATCTATACATCCACTCCCCCATACACCTTCATGACGTAGTGCTTAATTAGTTAAGCACAGGGACAACTTTACCTTTTTTGGTAGTTTATAATTTTACAGTTGTCAAATGATGTTAATTTTCATATAGATCAGGCAGTATTAAAGACCAGTTTGCATAAGAGAAAAAGTAATTCCTTCTGCAAAGTGTCCATTTAATGTACATTTGTATACTTTTACTACTTTATGTTAGTTGTCAGTCCTTTGAGGCAAATGCTTGAATAATATATTCAACTGTGTCACAGGTGCTTCCCATAATACCCTTTTGAATTAATTTGTAATAGTTCTGTTCAGTGAAATAACCCCTGCATCATTAAATAAACAATTGGGGTCCCAAATTCCAAAGAGAGGTCTGTGAAAAAATGTTAGCTTGTAAGCCGGAATTCACTGCGTTCCTTTCCCTACAGGCCTACAACTTTGTGAACTACAGTTGTGCCATTTGTTTATTATAACATGGTTAACTCATTGAGTTGTTTTTCCACAGAGAGTCATAAATTGGCTTCAGGATAATGTTGTGGAAGTGTACCTCTCTGATGTGTGGCAAGAGTCTATTTTCCAGCTTGTAATGCTTGATATTTCAGTCCCATATTGAGGAACTGGAAGAGAAGATTCCTGAACCACCACTTCCACCCATGAGGATGGATGTTTTGGGTCTAAAACATGAAGAGATAATGAATAAGGTATATAATGCACATTTGCTGCAATGTGGACTCCGAATTTCAGGTGTCATTTACAATAATATATAGACTTACTGCACACAAGAGCTGAGACTGTCAATCCAGTAAAATGTCTGGCTGACCAAAATTTGATTCATGGCAGAAACGGATTTTTTCTTCACAACATTCAGATCCGCTATAGGACCCATCCAACCTCATATCTCATGGTTGCTGTGTGCACCTTCCCCCAGGGCAAAGCAGCCAGAGCATGACGTTCACTCTCCATCTAGTGCCAAAATCCTCAGTGTGTTAAACCTTAACTTTGAAGCCCTCTGTATGCTTTCAGGTGTGGTATTTATGCAGAAGTGTAACTTAGCCTTATATGTGAGGCCGTGCCATAGCTGAAGCGGTTAGTTGCTGGCTTCCTACTGTGGCGGCCTTGGTTCGATCCCGGGTCGGGTCAAGTGGGATTGGTGGTGGACAAAGTGGCCCTGGGGCGGGTTTTCTCCGGGTACTTCGGTTTCTCCTGCCAATTTTCCATCATAATCACCCGTGGCAGGCTACAGTAGGCCAATCAGTGGCCGCCGTGCTGAGTGGACCCAGTTGGACTCCACCCCCCACTAAGTGAAAATTTTAATTAGCCTTATATGCCAGTTTATAATCATGGAAAAATGTAGGAGTGCCACAGATGAATATGCATATGCAGGTACAGCTCTGTGCATTTTAAATATTAGCACTAGTCCTGACTCATGGAGAAGATTCCCTGTAGCCCTAAGAGAGCAGGCTGAGTGGACCCAAAATCTCTTCTGATTTGGGTGGCAGAGACAATTATGCTGTGTCTGCTAGGAAACAGAATAGTGGTTGTGCAAACACTTAACTCTGTTATCGCGTTGTATTTGGTTGTATTATTTATGAGGGATTCTGCATATTCACAGTCATGAAGATGGAGGCAACAGGTTTCTTCAACACTGGTACCTATCAACCAAAGTACCATCACACCAAACACAAAATCACATCCCAGAAGATGTCATAAGGAATTTATTGACCAGCTGAATAATTCTATACTGCCAAAGATGATATACCATTAGAGCCAGTTAAGATATGCTACCAATTTTATAATTCGTTAAGTTTGTGATGATATATTAATAGAATGATCAATTTTCTCTACATTATCCATTATTCTAATTTTTATTTCAAACGGTGTTTCAGAGACTGGGCTATGTCTACAAAAGTCATTTCAAATAAAAATTAGGATGATTGATAATGGCCAGAAAATTTATCACTGTACTTATTCTTGGCTGTGTGTTGGGATAATTATGGTCCTTTCTACAGATCAAGATGGCAGTGAAGAAATCCCAGGCACCCCATAGACATCAACTTGGAGTTCCATTAACCAGCTCCACAAACAGTGAACCAGCATGGCAAAATCCTGAGGATGCTAATCATGACATCACTTTTAATCTGAAGAAGGAAGAATTCAAAAAGTTCTTGATGAAGAGACAGTTATTGCAGAAGAAAGGCCTTTACAGCAATAGTAAGAAATACAGCCCAGAGATGGATCTGCACAGGAGTGGTGTTTCAGAAGATTGCACAATAACGTCAGATTATTTGGAGAGTATTAATGATGATGAAGAAGATTATATAATTGAAGATGAAGATGTGTCATTCAAGAATGAATGAAGGAAAATTAAGTATAGGTATTCTGTTAAGAAAGACACAACTAAAAGATAATTACACAAGAACATGACATGTGGTAAGCATTAAGAACAGTCATCATTAGTAGTTGAAAACAAATGCATGTAATTGTTCCAGAGTGTGTGTGTGTACAAATTATTAATGTACATTTGTAGATACGAGTTGAATGTAAATATTATTTGCAGTTTTTCTGAGTTTTGAAATATAAAAATATGTAAATACATGTTCATATTGACTGGGTATTGTTGCTTCATAAACGTTTAGAATGAAATGCAGTAGATATTAAGAATAAAAGTTTTTACCAGAATCTTACTGTTACTTTATAATGACCTTATTCACCCTATTTTGTCACTAATGTATAGCTGTCTGCTGAGAACTTAATGGCAGAGAATACATGATGAAATACCAATCCTTCACCTGGGATATGGATGTGTTCCTTGTCAGTATTAGTGTACAGTACTCAAAACTTTAAAGAAAATGTAACACTGAAATTATTAAATTGAAACATACTCATGTAATTGAAGAAGAGATCATGAACGATTCAAATCATATCTGAACACTATGACACTATACTTGCAAATGATTTTAAGAGCCTTCGTGTACATTCTGGCAGGACTCGTGGAATCTCATAATATCTATTGGTGTTTTCTGCTATGTAAGAAAAAGTATAATTTTGTATATATACTAGATGAATTCTGGCATTTAATTACAACACAAAGATGTTTGTTTAGGACAGATGAAAGCAAAACTTAAAAAGTGTACCTTTAAAAAGCCTGAAGTGTAGAGAGGTGTCTGGGAGACCAGAACTCTGGAGATTAAGTGTTGGAGAAATCTAGGCTCTGGATGCTGTGGTTGAAAAAGGCCCTAGACATTAGTGTCAGGGAGAATAGTAGTGATTTCTCCTTCTTCTCCCCCTCCTCCTTCTTCTTCTTCTTCTTCTTCTTCTTTGGTGGTTTATTTTACAATGCTTTCAGCATCACAGTATCAATTGGTAGGATGACAGACAAGGAATGAATTGGAAAGGGTATTGAAGGAAGGGCCATGGCCTGACTGATGTACTATCCCAAAATTTACATGGAGGACTGCAAAAGCAATGAAAAACAGGCTAACAGGTGTCCCAGCCAAGATTTGAAACAAACACCTCCCAAATACAAATCTAGAACATTACCACTAGACCAACGTGTTTGGTGTAATTGTGATACTTCTGGCTACAGTAAAGATAAAAGGTAAAGCTATCCTTCAGCACAATGAAGTGCCATGCCATGAAAGCATATGGGGAGATGGCATTAGACGGAGGTGAACGGTAAGCTTCACATCCCAGGTGCCAACTCCCAGAGAAAAAGTACCCCTGCTGAGTATAGAAGACTAATTCCTTGGTAATCCAGCCCACAGCCTAGGCATTACGCTAGCTCCCAATTGTAGCAGTAATGATAGTAGTACATCACTAAAGGCTGAGGACAGGTGTAGGCAACATAAATGGGTCATGATGTTAACATTTCCATTGGCTATGATGTAAACAAGTGAGGAGTACAATGTTATACTTCTGCTGGTCAGAATAATTTGTTCTCTTATGATTGTACTGGGCTGTTCAAAAGCTGAAGCTAGCAACCTAAAAGGACTTTCCGATGAGAGTAATGCCCTGTAGAAAAGTGTTATAGAGGTTCCATAAAGTAAAAAAGTAAAGCTATCCCCGTAACAGGCTGTGAAAGCCCATAGGGTTGTGAGACGTTGAGGGTCCCACATTATCTAGACAATCGGCTCAAAGATGGCGGTAAGGTTGTCAGCCTTACGCACCAGCTGCGCTTTACTCCCCAGGAAAATTATTTAATTAATTCCTGGTACTCATTTCTGTTAGAGGCTGAGTAAACCCCAGGGCCTAGTGTGGCTGAAAGGATTAGGTCAACTGAAAAAATCCAATGACCTCATCGGGACTTGAACCTGCGACCTTCCATCTTGTAGCATAGCCCCTCAACCACTACACTACCGCTATCCCTGTTATAGAGGTTCCCTAAACCGTAATATTGGCAACATCTGAATATGAATGTGATAAAAGGAGATTCTTTCATTACTGTACACTAACTTCCATTTAAATGAGTTTTTAAGACAAATCTATATTTTTAATGAACAGGTGTTACAGAAAAGCATCCATTAATACATTACAGAAAGGCACATATGTGTCTGAATACATGTTAATTAAAACAAGATATTTACAACTTTTTTTCCTTCATAAAATTGATGAGTAATGTAACAGGCAAAATGTTTCTTACATTTCACAATCAGACAAATTTTAGTTATCTGTAAAATTGATTTTATATATGAAACAACAAAATACAGTTTGTGTATGTTTATAAACATTAATACATTTGAAGCAATCACTTATTTAAGTAATTAGATATTTTCCAGAACTGAACCTAATGGATTAATGGCATTCCAGAGGCTAGTTCTGTCTGTCTTTAGCTACAGGGAAAGGGTTCTCCACTCTATGGGACCCATTACATCTAGCCAGTACTGTAACTAGCCATCATCTGGATGACAATGGTTTGATCCTTCAGGAGCAGGGGTTTGTCCCTTTGATACCACATCTAGATCAACTCTAGAGCACAGCCAATATCATAGCAAATGGGTGCCATCAACTCTTTCCCGTTGGTAGATCAGCTGGTCACCCCCATCTAAATGTGAGGCCTCAAATTCATGGACTTGATCTCAGTATCTCAATGGTATGGTGCTTAGACACTTGTAAAACTTTAAAGAGTAAGATCCTGTGGGATGTATTGCTATGTAATCTGCCAGAAGTCCAGTAATGTTTCAGAGGAGTGTACAGCCTCCATCTTCAATGTCAAAGAGCAAGCCAGGGGCAAAGGGCCATGCCATAGCTCAAACGGTTAGTCGCTGGCTTCCCACTGCGGCAGCCTGGGTCCGGTCAAGTGGGATTTGTGGTGGACAAAGCGGAGTTGGGGCAGGTTTTCTCTGAGTACTACGGTTTCCCCTGCCAATCTTCATTCCACCAATTGCTCCACAATCACCCTCACCTATCATCTGGGGCTGGTACAATAGGCCAGAAGTGGCTGCAGTACAAGGGACTTAGTCCCACCCCACTAGCAAAAAAAAAAAAGCCAGGGGCAATGCATACCTCTGATATATCAGTGGGCTTCTATTGAACTACACGGTGTTACAGTGCAGATGATGCTGTCTGTAGTCACAACTGTGAGAACCTCAAATCCAAGAAGAGAAAACTTTAATTCTACCAGACATTGAGACAGAGCCAGTTAGCCTATGATCCAGAAAGAGAACGGTGCTCCAAGAAAATACATAATACACTGTCACAGGTCTTTAAAACCACAAAAAACTATAACATTTAAAGAAAATAAATCAGGTTCTAAGAATGAACTACAATAAACAATGACTACAGTCTTCTGTGATGGTGCCAGCATCTGGACTGTATAGCTTCAAATTGTAGGGTGACTGACAAATGATGAACTGGAAAAGATTTGGAAGGAGGCAACCCTGGCTTAACTGAGGAATTATCATAGGATTTCACTTGACAGACTGGGGAGAACTATTATTAAAAAGAAAAGCCCTCGGAATAGCAAGTGTCTGGCTGAGATTCGAGTCACGTCCCTCCAAGATACGAGTCTTTGAGCATTAACAACATGTCAGGGTACTCTGTGATGCTGTGTAGTTTGGTGGATAAGTACCAATGTTTTGGAGGAACCTTCAATATCCATATTTGGGAACTTAACATAGAAATGATGGCAGCATGTTGCCCTGAATCACTGGCACCAGACTGTCCCAGAAGACAGAAATCTTCCATGTCACCATAGTGAGAAGCTCAAGTCTCACAGGTCATAGAGAAGAGACTCAAGTTGTGGCCTGTTAAAGGTGCTAGAGGGGATAATGTAAGGTAAAGTTACCCCTGTAACAGGCCATGGAGACCCATAGGATTGTGAGACATCGAGGTTCCCACATGTTCTAGACAGTCAGCTCACAGACGGCAGTGAGGTTGCCAGCCTAACGCGCTGGCCGCCCTTTACCCCCAGGAAGATTCCTGGTACTCATTTCTGTTAGAGGCTGAGTTGAACCCAGGGCCATAGTATGGCTGTAAGATTAGATCAATTGAAGAGTCCAATAACCTCATCAGGGATTTAACCTGCAACCTTCAAGCTTGTAGCACAGTACCTCAACCAACTACACTACTAGAGAAGGGAGATTCTTACCATCAGCAATAGTTGCATGATGAAGGAATAACCATCTCAAATCTTGCTGAGCTTCTAATTTATAATCTCAGACTACTATTGAATATTTATAATATGTATACCTGGAACTCAATATGGCAACTGATTTTCTGTATTCCAAAACGTTGGTCAATGTTGATTCATTCTTTTGTTCATGAAATTCCATATAGCCTACATTTTGCAGTCTCCTAAGTTCCATCTTGGAGAGAAATATATTGAATACCAGAATGGTCTAATTCTGCTGACTCGTTACATGAATGCATACATTGGAAAAGTAGTCATATCTTCTTCATGATGTGACCATATGTGCTTTAAAAACTTTCAGAAAAATTCATTTTCTACATACACAATACTTAATTTGTGCTCATTAGAAGATTAATGACACCTTGCAATTTCAAACAGCTGAAGATCTGTATTATTATCCAGAGTTCAAGGAAATCAGTGACTTACTTACATGAATATAAAAAGCAAGGAGAATTAGTATCGTGATAAAACTTCAGGACACCAAAACTAATTCAGCAAACGGTAAAGAGAAAAATAGCCAGGACTGGAATCTTAATTTTGGAGCACATTATGCAATTTTCATTTCAATTAATAACGGTATATTGAGATTAACAAACAACAATAGTAACGAATAGTAATTTGAAGTTCCAGCTAGGAGATATTTCGTATCAAAGTTTGTTTCAAAAGCTTTGTCTACCAGAGTGATTGGGGCAGAAGATGAAGGGTACTATATTCTGGGATATAACACCGTGTACTCTGTTGAAAATCAACCGATGTTTTGGAGGAACGTATCACCTTCATCTTCTTCTCTGTTTGCCATCTGCTTTCACACTGGTTTCCTGCTCAGCTTATTCTTCGACCCTGAAGCTGGAGGCCACATGTTTATCTAAAATGACTGTAGAGTTTCCACAGACTACATGGTGTTATATCCCAGAAGACAGTGCTCTTCATAACCACTGCTGTGAGAACTTCAAATCCTACAACTAGAAAGATACTGGCAGAAAGCCCATCAACTTACTCTTCTACATTCCTCTGAAACATTAGTTAACTTCTACTGGACTATGCAGTGGCACATCCCAGAAGACAGTACTCTCCACAGTGACTGCTGTCAGAACTTCACATTCTGCATGTCAGGACTCCAGCATCAAGCACTGAATTCATATTAAGGTTTTGTACAGTCACACAGAAACATTTGATTACTGTATAATAAATTGACTGAGATCAAGTGAAACCAATAAGTCAGTTTATCATATTAATCACACTATACGTTTTGGTTTCTTTTGACCTCATCAGGTGTGTATGAACAAACAATGAACAACTATACTGACACCACGGAGCTGAGCCCTTATTGAGAAGCTGCCAGTCCTACATACACTCAAGAATTTCCCAACATTCCTGAGCCAGATCAATCCAATCCAAACCACCCCATCCTAGTTTTCTAAGATCAATTTTAATATTATCCACCAATATCCTACAAACTTTCCTCTTCTCCATTTGTGCTGCATGCCCTGCCCATCTAATCCTCCTTGATCATTCCAATTATATTTTGCAAAGAGAAGATATGAAGCTCCTCATTATTCAGTTTTTCTGCAACTTCCTGTCACGTCAACCCTTTTCAGTCCAAATATTCCTCTCAGTACCCTGTTCTCAAACACCCTCAAGTCTACATTCCTCCCTTAATGTCAGAGGCCAAGTTTCACACCCATACAGAACCACAGGCAAAATTATATGTTCATGTTCATGTTCATTGTTCATTGTTCATTTATTTAAAATTCAAGCAGATCCGGATACAGTTTGAGAAGTATATTCACAAACCATTGGATATAAAATGAGTCACATATCAGAATTTTCCAATTAATAATTGGAACAAGTCTAGGTAACATAATGTAAAATATAGCTCTGTATATTCTAATTTTTATGTTTTTGCACAGCAAATGGGAAGACAAAAGGTTCTGAACTGAATGGTAGCAACCATTACCCAATTTCAGTCTCCTCTTAATTTCCTCTTGAATCAAATTTTTTTATTACCGTCATTTCCAAAATTTTAACTGTGCCACATTTTCAAAGGATCTATTAGTTATCTTTATGTCATGATTTTTCCCTGCACTATGGTGACAAGACAGCAACATATACTTCCTTCCTCTGCATTTACTTCTAGACTAACCTCCTTACTAGTTCCAATTAAAGTTCCTTTATAAGAACTATACACATAATTTAAACTAAAATTTACAACCACGTGGTCCCCCCCCGCAAATGAACACAACATAGCACACTATGACCACCATCTTGGCTACATGTTTATATATATATATCAACATTTTATAAATTTTAATAATTATATCATTGCAAATATATCTTCATATATTCAACCCTTAACATATACAAAACTTTTAATTTTATGACTGAAAAATAGATCCACCTTATCATATAATTCAGCATAAACGTTGTATATTTATTGATTTTATTCATACATACCTGATGATGGTCAAAAGAGACCGAAACATATAGTGTGATTAATATAATATACCGATTGACTCGTTAATTTCACTTGATCTCAATCTTTTTTTTTTTGTACAATGATCAAACGTTTCTGAGAGCACAAAAATCATAATATCATATATACACAACAGGATGCATAGAATAAATACATTGGATTAATGTTTAGTGTTCAGCAGTTTCTATAGTTCAACTTTATGTCAGCTGAGAAATAACAAACTAGTCCTATAATTTATTTCAGAAACTTACCAAGATAAACTTTAATATCATCAACTTTTTGTACCTTCAGACAATTGCTATGCCCTCTGTAACTATTAAAACAATAGGTTCACCATGGGCACAGACATTCAGAGGTAAATACATTTTTGTTTCTTCATTTAACCATAATTCTCTGCAAAAACCAACATCTTCATACTGTTAGAAGCAGAGGTCACAACCAATTTACTGTCTCATAAAGAAACACTTAAAAAAATCATTTTAACATTATAATTTTTCTCTTTTCATATTTCACAGAAAATTACTTCAGATTCAGATAATCTTAAACTTATATTATGTATAATTAAAAGCATGAAGTAAAAACAAGATGGACCTCAACTTTTGACTGTCAGCTGTCAACCCTTTCAGTGGTAGGTTTACATGACCAGGAAAGACATGACATGTAAAGACATACCCTGCTGGAATATCTCAGTGAAGTTCAGGACATTTCCTTTGACCAGTCAAGGTCATCACCACCTCATCCACCCCTCCATTCTTTTTCTCCCCCCTGAGACTACCTGTAGCAAGGTAGCTATGAGTAGCTCTGGAAATCAGTAGTGGTTTATGGTGGAATCATTTTAACCAGCCAAAAGGAATGTCCCCATCTACTATGGACCCAGCCAAATCTACTGCACATTCTGTTGTGAACAGCCAAGTCTGAAACATAGTCTGTACATTTCTCCCTTCTGATAGGTCTCACTGAATGTGTGGGCCATTTATAAAAGTATTTTGAGAATTCTGATTTCCCACTCCAATTCTTGACTTAAACATGCTCTCAGTCTCTTAGTCTCAGGTGCAGCATGAGATAGACATGTCAACCAAAACATGATACCAGCAAAAAATTAAATTTGTTTATTTATGGTTTATTTACCAATGATGTCACCCACCCAGACTATACTTACATTGAATGATGATAAAATTAACAAATAATGAATTTGAAAGGCTGTAGGAAGAAATGGTTGTTGCCTAATTCAAGGTACCATCACAGCATTTACCTGGAGGTGCTGAGGAAAGCCTTGAAAAACCTGTCATGACAAGCAGTCTGTGATCTAAGATTTGAACCTGCAGTCTCCTGAATATGAAGGTGAGTTCCCCACTGGGCCATGGTATATTGGGTCAGTACCTAGTGCAAGGTACTTTGTCATCAAATATTATCCAGTAACTACAGTATCACTCTTCTGCCAAATACTTAAATAGGGAACCCCTCAAACACAGGTCAGAAGCATTACCACTTGAGTCAACTTTCTCAATGGAATCCTCTGTAAAAACTGAACATTATATATACAGGTAATGCTATCCCTGTAACAGGCTGTGAAGACCCATAGGGTTGTGAGACGTCAGCCTCGCGTGCTGGCCGCACTTCACCCCCAGGGAGAGACCTGGTACTCATTTCTGTTAGAGGCTGAGTTGACCCCAAGGCCATAATGCTACTGGAAAGATTATGTCAATTGAAAAACCCTCATACATATACACACACATACACTCACACATATACATCAGGCAACACTGTTGGCATGGTAACATATGAATATGGATGCCTTTCAACGTGACTGGCAACGTGTCCAAATGTTACTATGTAGCAAAACGGATGAAAATAAAATACAATACAATACAATACAATGTCCCCCTTCTGACAAGTTTGTAACCTCTGATTTTGGATACTTCTAGATAAAAATCCAAAAATATCTGTTTCTTTCTATTTAGCAGACAACTTCAGCTGCCAATGTCACAACCAATACAACCATGTTTATTTTTAACATAAAATTATTATGCAGACAGCAGAACCTCTTTTAACCAACTCCAAAACAGAAACCTTCATGTCAGTAAATGCCCATATTATGTAAACATTTGAGAAAAACCTATTGGTAGAAATACCAAAGGACATTCTTGTAGGAGGAGGAAACATTTATGGCACACTGCTGCAGAAATCCAGCAAACCAGTGGAAGATTTGAGCCCTTTTACTTATAAAGTTGTATTTGCATTTTGGTGACCAGTGCTGTCAGCAGCTACAAAGATGAGTCTTTACTTTAATGGCAAGTGCAATGTATACTGAAATGCTGATTATAATTAAATGGATGTCTCTCGATCAACACCAGGTAAGAAAATCTAAGATTACAAAATAGAGCTGGTTAAAAGAGGTTATACCGACAGTAACCTGGTTAACAGATGTACGACATACAGGAAACACATGTTGGCTGTGAGAGCAGCACTGATGACAAAGTTTATACTGTTCACCTGCCAAACTCCCACAGATGTTATAAAGATGTTACTAAACATATACTTAAAGCCTAACCCTTTAAAGACAAAAAATAATGTAAATAATATGTAAAAATTGTTTCTACCTCACAGAAAACAAGCTGTGTCTCAAGATTATAGTCTCCTAGGATATGCCGCGATGGAGTTTGGTAGAAGGGAACTGGAAGGAATCTTTTCCCTCTATTTTCAGTAACTCTGGTACCCACTACCAAACTACAAAGCATAACATAGAAGAGACCTGTACCCTTGATAACACTATGAGGACCTGAAATCTCATACACTGTATTTCCATTACAGAAACCAACCAGCTAATGCTCTTCAGGATAATCATCGCTGTTCTGAGAATAAAAAGAAATACATAAATACATTCCATGGGCAAAATACAGAGTTTCCGTAACATTAAAGCAGATGGTACATACAGTAACCACTATTTTTCAAAGGATTAATAGCTGATGTGTTCTCAGAGATGTGTCTATAAAGTACAATCCCTTCAGCAATGAGTCCTTCACATTTTTAAAAATTGGAATTGGCCAGTATGGCACAGTAAGGACTAGTACCTCTATAATCATATCACAGTCATTATTTTGAAGTCCGCTCCAAGATGCAGCTAGTGCTTGCCACCAAGGAGGAAAGTTATCAGCCAACAAAGCAGAACTGGCAGGATGCTATCTTCGACCTGTGTGCCGTGCCCACACAGTTCAATCTCTTTTTCCTGAAATCACAGTTGACAATCTGACATTTATGAGACTCATTTCTGTATGTGGACTGAAAAAGTGGTTCCAAGAGCCATGTAATTCTGATCTGTCTTCCTAATGTTTGGGCCATACTTTATATCACAATTGTAATAAATAATCTATACAAAATATTCAATTCAGTTAGATTATATTGATCATTTTTTGTCAAGCTACTGACACATGAAATATCTTATATATTCAGTGACTAAGGAGACAAATGGGAAACAAAAAAAAAAACAAAAAAAACAAATATATCCAGAATTCTTTAAAAAGCTTTGAGATAAATTCAAGGTCTCCAGACCCACATAAATATTCTTTTAAAGAAATACTTATTTTTTAATCTTTCCTTTTCAATTCCTTCCCCACTTTTTCTCTCTTCTTAAGATCTTCCAGTATGTGGCTGAACCATCATGTTCTGGGTAATCCCATAGGTTTTCTTCCTTTACATTTTTGATACTAATGCCCTTCTTCATAAATTTATCCATTCTTTTTAATATGGCCAAACCATTGTTAATTGTTTCTCTTATAACTGATAAATGTTGAATTCTAACTTCTATAAAAATTTCATTTCTGATTTTAACGGCCACCCCCTTTTTGGATTTGAGGTTCTCACAGAACTGACTGAAGAGTTCTCTCATCTGGGATGTGATATTATATAACCTGGTAGAAATTCAGTTATTTATCAAAGATTTCACACAAAATGCATTATTTTACATTTGATTCTCTTTGTGAAAATCTGTTTCAGCATTCTATGTTAGTACACGTTTAAAGTATACATTAAAAATTGTTATTTTGCATTGATTAAGCATCCACCCTCCAACTTATAGCTGTTTCCACATATATGTTGATGGGCTATGAAAGATAAATGTTTATTCAGAAATGTTGATATTTATTGGGAAGTCAAAAGCAAAGTTTAAAGGATGAAGATGATTTTTTCTGAGTTATAATATGAGACACAAAATACAGAATACACAAAAGACACAGAGGGGTGAGTTAAGTCAGGAGTCATGGCACCTACCTTAGGGTGCTCCCGTATGCAAGATTTTGGTCTTTTCCGAGGGAGATCACCTGTGTGTACCTTGAAACATGCCAGGCTATGATTGTATTTGACTTCAGTCGGCGCTATGCTGAGTTTCTTCTCTTCCAGAAATGGGCACAGTGTATCCACTACCACTAGAACCATATTACTGAAGTTTATCTTTTGAACAACAAATGGCCTGCAATAAAATCAGAATTAATAAACCACTGTACTACCAAATTTCTCTAACAAATGACTGCATAATATAAGTCACATGTTGCAGACACCTGATTAGAATCTGAAGACTCTTTTCAATGATACCCTGCCTGCATTCACAGCTATATTTAAATGGAATTAAATTCTTGTTGTTATGGTGTTTTTGTAATCATCTTTGGTCTATATCATAAATAACATACACTCTTTGTTCAAAAAGAGATATAAAGTAAGGCATATGGCTGCCAACTGTTAATGAGAAGACAACATACTAGCATAAACAAAGATTTAACCTGAAAATGTCTTGGACATAGTGTAGCTGTTTGGACAGTGTGACCAACCATGATAGTCTTCAGTGGGTAAAACTCATGACTAGATCCAGCTGCAGCTACTTTTATTCTTTTCCTCAGACCCTACAGGAAGATTGTAGACTACAATAAATTTTAAACATGACAATGGGTAAAGGACAGTCTGTCATGCTGAAAGAGACAGCTCAAAATTTAGGATGTTGCAAGACATCCATCTGAACCTGACTATCATGGCCAACGCCACACAATCAGCAGTACATTCCTGTACTAATTTCAGTGTTTTCTCTCATTTGAAATAATTACACACGATAAAAACTAAGTTTTTTAAATTGTCTGTGAAAAACCTCTCTTTTTGTTCTTGCCTTGCATATTTAAAAACGCAGCAAAAAGTCAGCAACTGTCTACTTGGATGTGACACTTTATAGGCTTACACATCATTATTAACAATTCAGAAGAACTGATGTCTCATATCTTCATGACAAAGATAACAGCAGCAGATTCCACTAGAACAATGATAATGATCAACCAAGACTACACGATGTCACATCCTAAAACATGGTTATCTCCAACCTCAACATATTATCATGTGTGGCTATAGATGGGGTTTGGAATGATGAATTGATTTATTTTCCACTTATACACATTACTTGGAACTACAAGCAATGACAGTGCCACTGTGAATCTCCACAGTTTATAAATCACCAAAGCACACATTAAGCCTTTTACAGCCTGCTGTGTCTTCACCAGCCATTCCCTGGCAACAGCTTCTAACAGTGGAAATTCTTCAGCTTCACATGCTCAGGTCCTCTCTTCACAGCTTACCATGCAGAACTGCCTAACCACTGATTTTGTCCCTTGCTTATAACATCTTGACACAGACCACATAGAAACACTCTGTTTCCAACAGTAACTCTATTGTTGCATGCATGTTGATTGCCATGGGAACGTGTTTACCGAGCCATTGCCCAAGTCACTTCTTAGCAATGGGTCAATGCGCCACATTATATTCATCCCTTAACATCAAATCAGTCTCTGACCACTTCCTCCAATATCGCTCCCACACACAATTCGTAATCCTAGCATGTTGATTGAACACTACAAAACTACAGCAACTGAGATGGCAAGCAAAATTATGAATTATACGGTCACATGTTATTGAAGATAGAAGACAATGTACAAGGCAAATATAAAGATCATTCACAAACATGAAAGTAAAGACTGAAAGTGTACCTGGCACACCCTTCTTCTGCCTTCTTACCAAATACTCGATTGTTATCATACTGCAATTTGTACAAGTCCATCTCCATGTCACATGGCTCAGGACGTGTCCTGTTAATCTGTAGTTTCTCATATGGAGGTTCTGTGGGCTTCATATTCTGTTCCTCTGAATCCTCCACAAACGTTGTATCAGTAGGTATATAAGAGCCATCATGATAATCTGTATTGACAGAATGTAACATATCTCAAAACTTCTTTATTCCATGTCAGTCTCTAAGGATGTAGATCTAAACACAACAACAGATCATAAATCATGTCAAAAATTTTAAAACAAAAAGAAATAAGGCAAAAACGTAAAATTGTCTGTATTTAATTAATTAAGCACCATGCCATGAAGACATGTTGCAGAGGGGAGGTATAGTTAGTTAGTTAGTTAGTTATTTAGAGAGGGTGGGTTTCCCCATGCACTGCGACCAGTTTGATCTATTGTGCTTCCCTCTATGATATTCTACCAGCCTCAATACCCTACCGATAAATTGTGCGTACCATCAGTCCCGCTGAGCAAGCGAGTTCAGCCACTTGCTTAGCAGTGTCTATAATGCTTCCCCCATCTATCAGAGGCCTTAGAGACTATTGTTGGGCGGGAAACGTCCTGGAATTTGGCTCAGTGATCCCTTTTGGGGATATGAGGTTCTTTTACGTGCCGTAAAGTTACGACACGGGACACACAGCTCAAAGTCCCTCCCGGAGGACTTGTTCCCTGAATTTTTCTGCCCTTAAAAATTCGACGACCTCCGCCGGGTATTTGAACCCGCGTACTACGAGTCATGAGGTGGGAACGTTACCTCTAGACTACGGAGGCTGCTGAGGGGAGGTATAACTCCATCATTTTTTACCTCAGCACTAAACAGTGGTAAGTGGTCAGCTTCATGCCCTGGACGCTTTAACCCCATGGAAATTTCCCCTATAACTCATTGGCTAGAAGGATGGATGACTCTTAGCTCCGGCACTTACCATCTTCGGAAGAAAATGCCCAACTGAGGTGCCCCAGGCACTTCAAGTTACCCTCCAGAAGCAGCCATACTATATTACCAACAAACCACTCCAGCATCCACTTCAGATGGTTCAGTGGCTGAAACACACAAAAGAACAACACAGTAACAATAAATATGTATATCATAAACAACCATCCTACACTATTGCCTCATTTTCACCATACTGATAATGCAGCAACACATAATAACTATTAATATTTAGTAATTTATTAAATAACAAAGTCGAAACTTTAGCATTTTGGCAGCTTATAACTACTTGGTTGGTCAAGAAAGTTCTAGCCAGGAACAATACTGAAACTCACCTCCATTTAATTATTTCCATTAATGAACAGAATGGAAAAAGTCTTCTAAGAATCGTAAAACCCTCCATTCAGTATTTTAATTCTTCCATCATAGGCAACAAGATACTCTGACGTCAGTTATGCACAATATTTCAGTACACTTCAATGACCCAAGGACTCTATAATAAAGTTTAACTTACAGAAGCATAAACACCAGGAAATTACAAAGGTTTTAACTCACTGTAAGTAGGAATGGTGCTTTATTCTTTATGCCATCCTCTCTGAAGCAAACAGCCTGATAGTCAAACACTCGTATTCTCTTGTACAGGTCCTCTTGAACCATCATTTCCATGATATTACCTTGAACTTCTCCAAAGAACTTTCCTGTGTCCTTGAGTGACTCTGACACAATAATGTAGCCATTGTTGTCTAGCACATAACACTCCAGCTCATCTGAGTCGCAAGTCGAACGGCAGTTTTCACACTAACAAGGGGAAAACTATTTACTGTATGCAGGACATGAAGCTTTGACATTCTTCCATAAATATTCAATAATGTACATAGCTGAAGAAGCATTGTTAAATAAATAAAGAAACCAGAAACTAGACATATGTAACAGCTTTCAAATTTTCACCAAGCTTCAAAACATTATGAAACAATTCTGAAATGTGACTTACAGTACTGGTGATGTTCTTGAAGAGTGCATGTAGTGACATGTGTCGAAACTGAAACCCAACCACAGCCACTGGGTACTTGTTTTCAGGCTGTGACTTGTGACTGAAAATGGCATGGCTAGCTGTCACTAATGTATCATTCCTATAACCTGGAAAATTAAATTATATTATAGGAATATGCAAAAATAAAATGAAACCATAAACATTTAGTTTGAATTCTCTAACATATATACAAGTGTGATATTCCTATTGGAGTTCTGTTCCCTATCACAGGCTGAACAGAGAAGAGCCAGAGATATGCTGTAGCTAGCATACACAATAGTAATGGCTGCTGAAGTGATGCACAAACATTATTTAAAGATTCAAAGTGCCATTTCCAATCTCTTTTCTAATTACATGAGCTAAGTTTAATGTCTCAATTTGCATGCTGCTTGGTATTAAAGCTTTAGCTAATATCTATTATATTACTAATGAGGAAAGGAACTTATCAAGTGATGAACAAGCATTTCTGCTTCTGTTGTATATGCTAATACTTCTAAATTACTTATTACAAATATTAATAACATTTAATTTTTTATTACACCCTGTAGTATCATGGGTGGTTACTAATATCTCAGATGAACCTGCTGCTTTCATTTTCAGGGTAGGTCTCAAGATGGAGGTATTATATTATGAAATGTTCGTAACCACCTACAAACATTACACTATGTAATCAAGGATACAAATAGTGTCCTTGATTACAGAGTGTTATTTATTGACACGGTTGTGTGTTATAACTGCTACTATTGTACCCATTTTTAATAATGGACTACTTCTATTTTATTTTTTTTTATTTTATTTATTTACATTTATACAATCCGTTGATCCTTATGGTACAGCTGACCAGTGGATATGGATTTTGTCACAAGCTAATAGATTAAAATACGGAAAATACAAAAACTTACATACTTTTGTCATTAAGACAGTTAAAAGATTTATATTAATGTACAATGCATAAAATGATCAAAATTATAAAACAATAATTGATAGAAAATACTTGATAGAAAATACTTAGGTAATGATATAAAATTAACATATCAGGGGTACAATTACCAATTTTAATTACATACATGGTTAAAATATTCCTCTAAGGAATAAAAAGAATTTGAAAGAAAAAATCTTTTTAGCCTCAGTTTAAATAGTTTCACATCATTACTCATACTCTTGATTCTGGATGGCAGGTGGTTATAAGCCTTAATACCAAAGTAATATGGTCCTTTCTGAAAGATTGTTAGGCGTGATGTGGGAAGGTGCAAATTTGTGGTATGTCTAGTATTAAGATTGTGGGTCTCATAGTTTGAACTGTAAAGGTCTCTAT